GAAGAAGTGATCAGAAAAGGCTTCTGCTGCTACTTCTGCTTCAAATATCCCGGCATATACCACCGCACATTATACTGATTACTATATTAACCACTGTACCGATCAACCGGAGCTCTGGCTGTTCCTGCCATAAGTTGGTCGATTGGACCTTTAACTGCCTCTGTTTAAGACCTGTAACCATTTACAGATATCCACTTCGTTGCATAAAGCTGATAAGCTGCCTCAGTAATAGCTGGTCTATAGGAAATAAAGTTATAGACCATGGTTTTATTGCTTTTAAGTATCTTTACCTACCTTTTCCTTCAATACCGATTCTTGACTGTAAAAAATTGATCAAAATCTGTCTGCAAGAGATTTTCTTTGGAGTACCGTTCACTGCCGTAATTTATTGTAAAAATCCGATCTACAGAACCTAGAAAGAGCATACCATACAAACTTGATGTGTCGCATTTATAGTTGCTTAGCACTCTTCAAATTTACTTTTGCAAGACAACTAGATGTTAGTATTGTAGAACTATGTTTATTTTTATCACAAGTTCACTGCAGTTTGATGCCCGGTCACTTTAAACGTTTGTAATGCTGTGTTAACAGCATCATATTACAGGTCATTTTGAGCGGACCAAATTTTCTTTCTTCGTATTTATCACTGTTAAAAATGTAATTCTGAGAAAGTATAATGTTTGTTCATTTTAGAAAATTTAATTTGTTTTATAAAAAAATTTTTAAAAACAGCAAAAAAAGTTTTAAAGCTTGGTTACACTTTCAGTTTTGCTATTTTTCTATACAAGTTTTATTAAACATTATTAGAACATGAAGTAAAGGTTGTTTACCGGGTTCTTTTAACCTTTCCATTATTAGGCTGTTCTCAGCGTTTTCGCCATGTTCACCCATTTCACCTTCAGGTCCTTGAGGCCCTTGTAATCCCTGCTCTCCTTGTAATCCTGGTGGACCTGGAGGTCCTGCCGGTCCGTCAAAACCAGAGGGACCATTTGGCCCAGGATCACCCATTGGGCCTGGTAAACCAGGCGGACCAGACGGTCCAGGTGGACATAGTGGACAAGGTGGTGGAACAACCGGATGACAAGGTTCAAGAAATGATTTGCCAGGTTTCCCCGGCGGTCCTCGTGCGCCTGGTTTTCCCGGTTTTCCCGGCCTTCCAGAAGGGCCTTTTAGACCAGGCAAACCACCGGTACAACACATATCGCAAGAGCCTGCTTTGCGTGTAGTCCGATTTTTTAAGAAGTTGGCGTACTCCAACATCTTTACACTTGACCAGATATCATCGGCTGTTTCCTATAAGGAATTTACAAACTTTTTTTCTCTTGCCAACAATCATCACTGAACTCGTGTAGAAGAAAAGAGTATTTTTATTATTAACCTGTAATAATGTATAATTGTAGTGTAACTGAAAAAAAAGAAAAACAAACACTACCTGACAAAATTTAAGTTCATTAGTAAACTTTAATCGTGCATCAGTAATATAGGCACGAATTAATATTATACTCATAGAAACTGATAATACAGATATTGCAGCAAAAAGGATTGCTATGTAAGAAATAACTGTAAATGCATTTATATCGGTAACTTTCATTGTTTAAACAGAATAATAATACATATGTAAAACAGCAATTTCAGTTGTCCTTAAATACACTTTGTCATTTTGCAAAAATGAAATAAATATTTCAGGTTTTTCGCTCAAAAAAAGAAGAAAATTTGACAATTTTCATAAGGACAAACTGTTTATTAATTGCTACTTTTTTTTCCAACTTTGCTAAGTTTAATTTTACTTTTTTTTCCATTTAATTGCATTAAAAAACATTATTTTTGCTAATAATTTACGACCAGATAAATGATAAAGTTTGAAGTGAATTCCTTTTTCTTTTTAGGAGGAAAAAAGAACTTTTTGTTGCTCCCAAAATACATCATAACGGTTTCGTTGCAGTACTTATTTTTTTTTTTCAGTTAATTTTTCTTTCTGCTTTTAACCATCTAAAAAACATAGATTTTTATTCTTCCGTACATGTTTTTCAAAGTTTTAGTTTTTTTTATGTTAAAGCAAAGAAAATGACAAGAAAAAAAAAA